CCTAAATTATTCTACATGTTTCAATTTAATCCCTAGATTAATTTTTATTGATTAACTTAATATTAATTTGGTTTAATAAATTCAGTTTTATATTTTTTAAGTTATTCATTAGTTTTTTTTATTATTAAATTTGTATTGTTAATTTTAGTACATTTAAATTATGTATGCTTGTTAATTTCTTTTTATTTTTATGCTTTTAATTTATATTCTTTATATTTAATGTTTTCTTTAATTTAATTGATTTTAAAATCAACCCTTTAGATTTAGATTCCTTTAAATTAAGTCCTTATTAGAAAATTTTAGGCTTTAGGGCTAGTCCTTAGGTTTAGACTGTTCACACTTTAATCCATCAACTTCTTTAATTAGGAATTCCTTTAACATATTTAAATAGGTTATTAATTAGAGCCTCCACTTTAGGTTAGATTTCGCTTTAGTCCTCTAATTTAGGGATTAATTTGAGTTGGCTCTCGCGTCGATGCTCAAGGGACCATCTCGATTATTCGATCCAATAATTGGTTAAAATCAAATATGATTAATATTAGAGCCTCCATTTCTAGGTTTAGTCCTTTAGGTTCTTTAAATTACATATTTTGACATTGTAGGTTATGAGAAGCATTAATTAATTACCTAGTATAATTAGGTTGTCATAATTGATTATTTGATTGCATTCTGATTTCACAACTAAGGTGATGTTGATTTACCAAGGAATCAATGGTATATCTTCCATAAGTATGCTCAGGGGTGATTACTAGTGATTCCCGAAGTATGTCGACATCATTTTCAAGATCGCATCATGATTTCTTAAAATCAAGATAATATCCGGTTATTTGGCATAATAGTTTATCTCCCGCATTCATGCTAGTGGCGAACATTATTGGCTTAAATAAACAAACATCATTTTCAATTGTACATCCTTAGTGAATTTTCGATTAAATAAAGTTCGAACTTAGAATTTTCAATTTTAAATATTGGATAATCAACTAGGTATCGGGTTTTTGGCGCTGTGGGGTGTTAATCCTTCTCCACACGTAACTGACTCCTGAATCCCTTTTTTGGTTTTTTGCAAACCCACATTTGGTATTTTTGATAAAATAAAATGTTTTATTAAAATTACCCGATTTTTTATGTTTCAATCACACATTATAATGATTGGTGGCGACTTGTCACATTTCAAAATCTTTTTAAAGAAAAACCCCAAGTCGTATTAATTTTTCCCACCCGGGCGGAAAAACGGCGAGGACATAGTTTTATTCTTAATATAAAATTATCCGTTCCTTACTAGAGCTAGTGACCAAAATCTTGAGAGGCGGATCCAATGGCAGATGGATCATGGGAGAGTTTTGGTGCAATGTCAAAGGCTTGGAGCTTCGATGAAAAAAAACATCATTTTTCTTTAATATTCTTATGAAATCCATCAAACGTACTTGATGTAAATGGGATTCAAGGTAGATAGATATTTACTAGGCCTGTAAACGAACCGAACGCACACGAACGGAGGTATATTCATGTTCGTTCATTTAATAAATAGACGAACATAAACGAACACGAACATAAACGAACAAATTTTTTTTTTGTTCATGTTCGTTTATTAAGGAATATAATTTGTTCATGTTCGTTCATTTAATAAATAAACGAACATAAACGAACACGAACATAAACGAACACGAACATAAATGAACACGAACATAAACGAACATAAACGTTGGAGACCCTACCTTCCATTGTTCTTTCATGAAAAATAGTCGACAATGCAAATCAACCAAATCTACAGTGATAAATAGCGTAAGAGTTGATTAGCAGTGATGAAATGTTTGAAGATATCAAATATTTCGATCTATCTTTTAAAGATATTAAATGATTCACACAACTTTAATTTAACGCTATAATATTTATCTTAGTGGTCCATGATTACATATGAACAATCATTTTCTCCAATTACACTCTTTTTCAGAAATTGCATAGAAACCTTTGTTTTGTTTTCTGGCAAATTCTATATATTTTTCTCTTTACTGATGCTCGTATACTTCCGATTGTTACCTTTATATTCCCATCTATTTCTAGAAAGAAGTATGATGTTTTCTTGAGTTTTAGATGTGAAGATACCTGCAATAACTTTACATATCAACTATTAAGCCAAATAAAACAGAGAAAGAGATGAAAACAAACATGTAAAACTTCATATTGCACTATAATATAACTTGTTTTGAAGCTTTCAGCGATCGTCTCCACTCTCTAGTGAACACTAGGGTTTGGGAAAAAAAGGGGGAAATGAATATAGGTGCGAGGTGCCTCACAGGTTAACATATTGGATTTAATCTCCAAATAAAATTGGATTAATTATGGAGTTGGTCATCAGAATATCATATTAATTAATATTTTTAAGATACTTACAAATTGGTCACCAAAATTGATTTAAGAAGATTGGGTTAAACATAAATGAATGAACATAAACGAACATATTCGAACGAACATAAACGAACATAACCGAACGAACATAACCGAACGTTCACGAACGTAAATGAACGAACGAGACCTATGTTCATGTTCGTTCATTTAATTAAACGAACAAAAAATCTTGTTCATGTTCGTTCATTTAATAAATAAACGCATATAAACGAACTTCCCGCCGCACGGTTCATGAACGGTTCGCTGAACGTTCAGTTCATTTACAGGCCTAATATTTACGATAAAAACCTGAATTTAATTTGGATAATTACGTATTTAGTATCTAAACTATTATTTTTATTTCTTTTTAATATATATTTTTTTCAAAATCATACTTAACGTAGTTTAGATTTCATTTTAGTACACTCTCGTTAAAAATGTAATAGTGATGTTGATGTGTCACCATAAGATAATGCTACACCATTATCGGAAAAAAATATCACGTCAGGATTATGTTAATTCTTTAATGGTGGGTACCAAAATGAAATCTAAATAAACATTAGATATGATTTTGAAAAAAATAAACTTTGGTACTAAAACGTAACAAAAGTAATGTCTAGGTACTAAACGTATAGTTTACCCAAAAAATTAGGGTAAACTACATAAATGGTCCCCTAACTATAAGGTGTTGCTTTATTGATTCCTCTGACTTAAAAGTTACAAAATAGTCCCCCGATTATAAGATGTTGCTTTTTTAATTCCACTAACAATTAAAAAGTTACAAAATGGTCACACAATTATTCATTGTGTTCTAAACTCGTCTTTTTTGATTAAAAAATTGATGGTAGTTTGAGTTGGACGTTAACCTGTTGATTGAGATATAATATAATATGAACTAAGGTTCTCAACTGATTATCATATCTCAATGAGCAGATTAACTTCAAGATGAAATTACCATCAATTTTTAACGAAAAAGGATGAGTTTGAAACACAGTGAATAGTCAGGTGATCATTTTGTAACTTTTAATAGTCAGGGACTTAAAAAAGTAACGTCTTATAGTCAAGGGACCATTTTTATACTTTACCCAAAAATTTAAGTGATTACTCAATGAAAGATATACTTTAAAAATAGTTAAACTTTAAAGCAAAAAATAAAATATAAGAAAAGCCCTTAAATTTAATATACTATTGACTCTTTTGGTCTTCATATAAGTGTCCCTTTTATTTCTTTTTGAGCTTTAAATATTCTCTACCACAAATATAATATCCAAATTATCGTTTCTCAATTTCTCCTGATTATGTTTATGTTCATACCTCTTTCGGGGGGAAAACAACTTAAAGTACACGTCTAAATATTCACAAGAGTCCATATAAATTAAGAAATACACGTGTCTCGGTTTTAAAAAAATTATTTATTTTATGATTTATATTGATATTTATGATTTCTATAAATTTATTTTTTTCTTGATTTTTCAGAATTTTATTCTAACTAATATTGATCGATCTGTGTCACACGTGGACGAGGTTATCGGTGAAATTTTTTTACATATTCAAAATCATAAATTTAAAATTTATTTAAATGATACCAAACTACTTACTACTTTCATCAATCTCATTGATATAACAATTTATTTTTAAGATTAAAGTCTTCTTTTTTTATTTAGTGTAATTTGAGTGACCTCTGCATCTAATATTTATTGATTAAAATTTTATTTTACTATAAAATTAGATTATAAATTTAAGTTAATAAAATTAATATTTAATATTTAAAATGTATCATAATCATTATCAAAGACGACCATAACGAGACTATAGGGTTTTCTAGTCCTCTAACTTCATTAAAGATTATCATTTAATTTTTCAAATATTTTAATTTGATCCTTTATTTTTTAAAAAGTTTTTTATTATGATTGTATATTTTTAATTCTCTTGTAAAATTATTAAAAGTTTTCATTAATTCTTAATTTTAAAAGATATATCTTTTAGTAAAAAATCAAATCGAACATATTAAATAACCTCAGTGGTTAAAGGGAATATTATTTTCTCTAGAGATCTTGAATACGAACAGTTACATCTACAGGGTGTGTTCGTTATCAATGTTTAAGAAATATTCTAAATATATATTATATTATAATCACGCTTGACTATTAAAAAAAGGGATTTTAATTTTTTTTAAATAATTTGAGGTGATTACATTGTAATATCTGTTCAGAATCTTTTTTAACCATTATCATTGCGCACATACATTACAGATACAACTGCTCAAACTCAAGATTCCTATAAAAAAACAGCACTCCCTTTTAATGAGTTTGGTTTAAATAAATCCTAAATTGCATGATAATGCATGGAATAAGATTGGTTTACGTGGTACGAAACCTTAAATTGCGTACACTTAACATACTTCATATTTCTCTTAACTATACCAATTTTTGTTTTTATTAGGGTTTAGTTACGTGTGAATTAAAGACTTATAACTATTCTAATACTTACAACTTACTTTTAATTTCACTAAACAAAAGAGGGAAAATGAAAAAAGACCAAGATTGCCCCTGACTGGGCCTATAAAAAGTGAGGTGCAGCAAGCATTGAATTCCCACAACGGAGGAAAGCAATAGAAATGTTGAGTTGCTCGATCGTGATGCTACATTTTCTTCGTGTTTGATGCAGCAGAGAGGAAGAATCAACAACTCCAGATCAAGAACATTCTCGAGATCTCGTCTCGCCGTTGAAGGATTCTAGTTCTCTTTCTTCTTTTTTCATCAAATTTAAAATAAAAAAAAAACTAATCAAAAAGTTGTTATCCGGAGATCTTCTTCTCTAACGATATGGCCACTAATGGTGAGATCTCCAGTTCCATCCAAAATCTTTTGTTCTTACTACTAGAAATGAGATACAGAGATGAAGAACATATAAAAGTGATAAAGGACTGTTTAACTGAATCATTGAAAAGTAAAATAAGAAATGAATTTAAATTTGTTTGTTTGGAAAAAAAATCGATAGGAAATGAACGGGAGGCTCAAAAGAAGTACTGGAAGGAGCACTCTGTTAACTTGACTTTGGAGGATATGATGCTCGATTCCAAAGCCGCTGATCTCGACAAAGAAGAACGTCCCGAAGTAAATTTGTTTCCCTTTTTCTTGTTTATTTTTCCTTTGATTTTGAGTAGGGATTTCTAAATTTTCCTTTTTTTTTCTTATCCTTCAATTATTGTTTGGAATAGTTTGCTAGTCGTTGATTGTTGATATGCGCAGGTGCTGTCCATGCTTCCTCCATATGAAGGGAAAAGAATTCTGGAGCTAGGAGCTGGCATTGGCCGGTTTACAGGTGAATTAGCTCAGAAGGCTGGTCATGTTATAGCCTTGGACTTCATTGACAGTGTTATAAAGAAGGTGATTACAAACTCAACCTGACTCAAAACTGTGTTAATTTGATATTTTCATAAGGGGATTAACTATACTTTTTTCCTCTTAATTGCAGAATGAAACCATCAATAGACATTATAAGAATATCGAATTCGTCTGCGCCGACGTTACTTCCCCGGATTTGAAAATCCAAGAAGGATCGCTGGACTTGATTTTCTCAAATTGGCTGCTCATGTACCTTTCGGATAAAGAGGTTATTTCAGTTATAAAACTTCCTCTTTTTGGTATGTTTGCAAGTCCGGGTAGGAGAAGGGAGATTTTACAAGTTACAAGAGAAACTATAATGATAATCAAGCATTACACGTTTTATCTAAGAAATCACTGAATTACAATCAATCAACCAGCACATAATTGGACAAATCCAACATAAACTTGGACCAAGCTCACAGTCTGTGAGACTTAAACATTGGACATCAAGGTCCCAGACCTTCTGCATGCCTGAAACACATAATACAGTCACACAAAATTTCTCACATAGATTGGTATAGGTGAGATTCTTGGAGCAAATACCTTTTGCTTCTTCTTTCAAGTGAATGGTAATTTGGATTTCCATGTCTTACATGCTCTGTATGTATCTTCATACTTTCCCTTATACTTTGGCTAGTACTTTTAAGGACTTTGGATTCAAAAGTATATGACACGCAGGTTGAGATTTTGGCTGAAAGGATGATGAAATGGTTGAAGGTTGGGGGACATATTTTCTTCAGGGAGTCATGTTTCCATCAGTCTGGAGATTGTAAACGAAAGAACAATCCAACTCACTACCGTGAGCCCAGATTTTACACCAAGGTTCCCTTTTATTATGAGGACTGAGTTATGCATTAGACATATTGAGCTCATCGTTTTTACACTTTCTAAACAAATGTTTGTCATGTATTTTAATGCAGGTCTTTAAAGAATGCTATGCAACTGATGATTCTGGAAATCCCTTTGAACTTTCTCTAGTTAGCTACAAGTGCATCGGAGCTTATGTTAGGAACAAAAAGAATCAGAATCAGGTAAACCTTATCTCATTTGATTGTTATATTTTTTTTCTCTCAGTCCTGAATTGATTTACTAACAAGATGCAGTGTTTTGTTTGCATAATGCCAGATTTGCTGGGTGTGGCAAAGAGTTAATTCATATAATGACAGGAGATTCCAGCGCTTCTTGGATACTGTTCAGTACAAAACTGATAGCATACTCCGCTATGAGCGCGTCTTTGGAGAAGGATATGTGAGCACAGGAGGAGTTGGTATACCATTTCAACCTAATATTTGTATTTATTTATTCAAAAGGAATTTGGTACACAAAAGTAGATAAAATAGGGAAAGGAAGATGAAACAATTGCTTTCAACGTGCATGTTAAAACATGAAAATTCTTCCTCTTAACTGTTAGAAAATTTGATACTACAGACAAGAAACTTTTTCTGGGATTTGTATCTGGTATTGAAAAAGGGTTTTGAAGTAGAATTTCCACCTTTTCCACTAATGTTTGAATCCCAAAAGTTTAGACAGTATATACCTGGCTATAATCAATTTTTTTGGGGGGAAGTTTATGTGTATCAGATAATGAGTTAATTAGTATAAAATTGCTTCAAATATTGTTTTTTCTATGTTTCTTCAATTAGCTTAAGGTCCTTCCATGACTCCCTTTTGTTCCTCTGGCTTAGCACTTTCTTTTGGTCCCCTTATTCTAGTCTGAAATGAAAATGGTTCTTGAGCAGAAACAACCAAAGAATTTGTGGGGATGTTGGATCTTAAGCCTGGACAAAAGGTTCTAGATGTTGGATGTGGAATTGGTGGTGGTGACTTTTACATGGCAGAAAATTTTGATGTCCATGTTGTCGGCATCGATCTCTCTGTAAACATGATATCTTTTGCTGTTGAACGAGCCATTGGACTCAAATACTCGGTGGAATTCGAAGTTGCTGATTGCACTAAGATGACTTATGCGGACAACACTTTCGATGTCATCTACAGTCGTGACACCATTCTACACATTCAAGTAAGATGACATGGTTATCTCACCTACCGTTTGTTATACTTATGTTTGTTGATGATTCTGATATGTTTCAAGGCTTTGTTTGTTCCCATTTTGATAAAAAAAAATCCTTGAATAATATGTTAGGCTTATTTTTGTGTTCTCGATCCATTTTGTCACTCTCTTAACGTTCTTTATAATAAAAATCGACTTTCAGGACAAGCCTGCACTGTTTAGATCTTTCTACAAATGGTTGAAGCCAGGGGGCAAGGTTCTTATAAGCGATTACTGCAAAAGTGCCGGAACTCCATCACCGGAATTTGCCGGTTATATCAAGAAGAGAGGGTATGATCTCCATGATGTCAAAGCATATGGCCAGGTATATTCGAATTAACTAATCACCTCTTGTTATCACTTTCTGTTTACAATTTGTGACATCATAAGTTGTCTTTCATTCCCTTGCTTGCAGATGCTTAAGGATGCCGGTTTTGACGAGGTTGTAGCGGAGGATCGAACTGATCAGGTTCGGATAAATCTACCACTTGTCAAAATTATGAACTTTCTGTTGGTATCCCATAGCTAAATGACACTAGTTCACCTGTGCTTCAGTTCATAAAGGTTCTGCAGCGCGAATTAAACGAAGTCGAGAAGAACAAGGATTCATTTGTCTCCGACTTTTCACAAGTGAGTGTTTCTCTCGGAATCGTTTTACCCCGATAATTCGATTGCTTCTTCCTCATCTGCTAATGGTACTTCATAATTTCAGCAAGACTATGATGATATAGTTGGTGGGTGGAAGGCAAAGCTGATAAGGAGCTCATCTGGGGAGCAGAGGTGGGGACTTTTCCTAGCCAAGAAAAAATAATTCCAACGGTTCAATATGCATTACTCTGTGTTTCCTTTGAATAAAAAAACAAAGGCAGATGGCATCATGAGATGTTCTTATATGGTACTGCCTAATAGTTTGATGTTATGAAACTACACCCTACCGTCTTAAATTTCTATCAGTATTTCTCTGCTACTTAGTTTAGAACTTGTGTGGAGATGTACCTTTAGAACTTTCATGTATTATCTTTATTATCTACTAAATATATGTGATTACTATTTTATCTTTATCGTCTATTTTGATGGAATAATATGATGAAAAAAGAAAATTGTATGTATGGGATGTCGCAGATCTCTAATAGAGTTAAATGAAAAAATAAATCGAAAAATATGCTTAAACCACCTGACATCTTTAAGAAAACTTTAGGAAGATATCATATTTTTAAGAAGACGCTGGAAAGACATTAACTCCGTATAATTTGAAAGTTAACTTTATCAATGTATCAATTCAAAAGAAGTCTTTCCAATTTTTTTTAAAGATGTCCAAATGTCTTCCCTTATATTGTTCATATTATTCTAATTGAGAAAATAATTTTTCTTTCCCCATGTGAGCAATTCTTTTTTTTTTCCCATGATATTATCTATGGAAAATTGCCCATCTTTCCTACTCATTACACCTACATTTGACAACTCTAATTGAGAAAATAATTTTTCTTTACCCCATGTGAGCAATTCTTTTTTTTTTCATGATATTATCTATGGAGAATTGCCCATCTTTCCTACATTTGACATACTTTTGGTACCGAATTTATAGTTTCGATCAGCTTTCATTTACATGATAATTGAAACAGTGATAAATCAAAAGGATGACAGGAACGACCATCTCCTTAAAATAGTAAATTCTTAATATAATTTAATTATTTTTTATACATTTTATTAATAATATGTATTTATCTTTTGAATTTTTATAAAGTTACCCTTAATATAAAAACTTGGGTATGAAATGAAACATAATCGAACACATGTTGATAATTATAAAAATTACATTACTATTTTTCCTAGTGCAATTATAACCGTATAAAATCAATAACTTCATAGATCAATAATGACCATTCCATCAATGAGTAGACCACAACTGTTTAGAGTAAGAAAAAAATATAGAAATTTTTTTCTTCTTGCCGACACTCCCAAAATAAAGGCAGCCACTCGTCCCTTTTTAGTGATAACGACTAAATTGGGGTTTTCCATGTAACATGACCCACGACCAACAATGAAGGGTTAAATTTTAATGGCTCAATCAGAAAATAAATATTTAACATATATTATATTTAAACTCATCGAATCAAAAAATCTTAATAATTATAATAATTATTATTCTTTTTAGAGTTTTTAGGTACACGCTTCTAATTATTATTAGTTAATAAAGATAATTTTAAACAAATATTACCTTATAATGACTCTAAACTAATAAAAAATATATTTATTCTGTCCCGTTAAATATTTCAAATAATTAAATATTTAAACAGAAAACAATGTGTTTTAAATATGCATTTTTTTAAAATAAGTCAATTTCTAAATTTTAGCAACATGTTCCATATAAGATTATAATGCGTAGGCCCAATGATTGGAATATTAACAAGTGAAATATCTGTGGGCCTCTCCGATGCCTTTAGAGCCACTAGGGGTATTCTTTCGACCCAAAAGCCATCCGCTCTGTCTCTTTTTATATAACTTTGAAATGAAAATAAGATAATATTTATTTAAAGAATTTTAATTATTTGACAATTAATATTTATATTCATACATACTTGATGTTTGAATTCGAAACCTTAAAAAGAAATAACAATTCCTTAATTATTAAGTTCGTTTAATTTGTGCTCGTCGATGATCATTAAATGATATATTATATAATAAAAAATAAAAGGTAAAATACACAAATAGTCCCCTAATTATAAGATATTTTTTTGTTGAGTTTCTCGGTTATTAAAAATTACAAAATGGTCTTCTGATTATAGGGAATTACTTTATTTAGTCTCTCGACTATTAAAAGTTAAAAAATTATCACCTGACTATTCATTATGTTCTAAACTCATACTTTTCCGTTAAAAAAGTTTAACGGTCGTATGAGCTAGACGTTAACATACTGATTGAGATTATAATATCATATTTTATCATATCTCAGTCAGCATGTTAACGTTCAGCTCAGACTGTCGTTAATTTTTTAAACGAAAAATGACAAGTTTAGAGCATAATGAACAGTCGGGTGACCAATTTATAACTTTTAATAATAGAGAGACTCAACAAAACAACTCCCTATAATCAGTGGACCATTTACAAACTTTTCATTGTCGAGAAACTTAACAAAACAATATCATATAATCAGACATCATTGGTATACTTTACTAAAGAATAAATATATTATCACGATAAATAATCATTGGTTCTAAATACAAATAGTAAAACAAATATAAAGAACACAAAGTAAGAACTCACCAGAATTAATTGGATTTACCTGAAAAGTACATTTGACCATGATTTTGAAGCCGATACCTCCAAGGTCTTTTGGCCATTCTTCATAATTTTGGAGCTACCAGTTTGATTTGTAATTCCACAATATTTATAAAAAATTATGAAGTAAAGAATATACAATAGAATATTCTCAATGGCTCAAATAATGAAGATAGGCCCACTGGATTGGGCTCTTATTATCGATATCAAAATATTGCCATTTGGGCTTAACCCCACTAACGCACTAACCTTTTCCTTTTAGGGTAAATTACCTATTTGGTCACACACCTGTTATTTAGGTTTTGTTTGTCACTCAATTATTATATTTTCCAAAATCATATTTAATGTTACGTTTTGGTTCTGTTGTGGTCAGTTAAAAAATCAACAATGATGTAGATGTGATATTTTAAAATTATTTTTCAAAATTGATGTGACATTATTTTATGATGACACATCAGCATCACCGTTAATTTTTTAATGATGGGTGACCAAAACATGATGTTAAGTATGATTTAAAAATATAGACATATCATCAAAATAGTACCAAAGTAATAAAGATATTAAATATGTAATTTACACTTTTTATAAAGACTCAATCCATATTATATATATCTTCAATAGCAGGGGTAATTACAAAAAAAAAAAAAGAATTTATTATGTGGATTATCTTTTATTCATTTAAACGCAATTGCTCAAACTTAATTCTTAAAGAAATAATAGTCTGATTGATTACCTAAGACTTTTTTGTATCATATAGATGTAACAACTCAAACCGAATCCTCTAAAGAAAATAATATTCTCTTTTAAACACTTAAATAATTCAATAGATTTTTATTATAGATAGATAACTACAATCCGATGTAGGGATGTAAATAAGACGAGACATATCGTTAATTACTAGAGTTCAACTCGATCAAGGATTTATCAACATTCGAATCGAATGGACTCGATTCGACTTCGAACTTTACTCAAATTCTTAACGAGTTCGAAATGAACTACTTTGATACTCGATGAAAAGCTCGTGAGAATCTAAAAATAATAGTATATTAATTAAAAATAAACAAATTGTTGATAATATAAATATTTAGATATTATTTTTTAAATATAATATAAGATTTTCATTACTTTAGGTATATGTTTGAACTTTAATTCGAGGTTGAACTATTAAGTTTGAGTTTCAATCGAGTTAAGTTTGAGAATGTTTCGAGTTCAATTTTTTTTGAATTTGAGTCGAGCTTGATAATTTTAAACTCACGAGTTTTAAAATTTAGTCGAATTAAACTTTAAAATTTACAAATCAAGTCAAACTCAACATTTAGTGTAAAGAGATTGAAATTAAAGAGTGTACACAGTATAGTTTATTTCCAAAACCCTAATTGCCTATAAACCGGAACTTCGTCTACTTATCATACTCCTTTTCGCTCGAGAACCCTTCAGTCTCACATTTCTCATTGAAAACCCTAATAGCCGTCGTCGCCTCGCAACCGCCTTGGAAAATGGCAGGTGAAGGATTAGTTCTCCGAGGCACAATGCGCGCCCACACCGACATGGTGACCTCCATTGCCACTCCCATCGATAACTCCGACATGATCGTCACCTCCTCACGCGACAAATCCATCATCCTTTGGCACTTAACGAAGGACGAAAAGAACTACGGCGTCGCTCGTCGTCGTCTCACCGGTCACTCTCATTTCGTCCAAGACGTCGTACTCTCTTCCGATTCTCAGTTCGCTCTTTCCGGTTCCTGGGATGGCGAGCTTCGTCTCTGGGATTTAAACGCCGGAACCTCTACTCGTCGCTTCGTGGGCCACACCAAAGATGTTATTTCTGTTGCATTTTCCATTGACAACCGTCAGATCGTTTCGGCTTCTCGAGATCGGTCTATCAAGCTTTGGAATACTCTTGGAGAATGCAAATACACGATTCAAGAAGGTGACGCTCATACGATTGGGTCAGTTGCGTTCGTTTCAGTCCAAATACTCTTCAACCCTCAATTGTTTCAGCATCGTGGGACAAACAGTTAAGGTTTGGAACTTGACAAACTGTAAGCTTCGTAACACATTGGCTGGACACTCCGGTTATGTGAATACAGTGGCGGTTTCTCCTGATGGGTCTTTGTGTGCCAGTGGAGGAAAAGATGGAGTGATTCTGTTGTGGGAGTTGGCTGAAGGGAAGAAACTTTACAGTCTTGAAGCGGGTTCGATCATTCACTCGCTTTGCTTTAGTCCTAATAGGTATTGGCTCTGCGCTGCCACCGAGCAGAGCATCAAAATCTGGGATTTGGAGAGCAAGAGCATTGTGGAGGACTTGAAGGTTGATCTTAAGGCTGAGGCTGAGAAGTCTGATGTCTCTGACACCGGAAACAAGAAGAAGGTAATAATGCTTTTCTCCTTCCTACTTTATTTTCAGTTAAATCTTCATTTTTGAGGATTAATATTGTTTGCAATGGGAAAGCCATATTTTTTGGGAAATTTTAGATGCAACTAGATTTATTGTAAATAAATATTCGGGGAAAAATTGGAGAAACTGATTTCTTTGAATTATGATGGTTTGGATGCTTGGTCAATACATTTTGCCATGAATTTGTTTATTAAGACAAGCAGATTTAACTTAAAATATCATGTCTACTCTAAAAAGTTACACAATTAGTAATAATTTCGGTTACAACTGAGCATGTTGTATTGTAGCTGGGTTTAACTTAAATGTTAACTGTTACTCTAAAAAGTTACACAATTGATAATAATTTTGGTTACAATTGATAATCTTTTGATGGACCTTTTAG